TATTACATGGCAGTTGAGAAGTGCATGTACATAAATTTCATTAATTTGCACATGCAGCAGTACATAGCATGCATTTAGGCGCCTGGTGTTAGCAGTCGCGTCTAAACAATTTGTTTTGTAATAAAAATATCTTACCTATGATATCAATTTCGATTGGTTAACAGATCGATGTAGTTACCTATATTGACTTACCTGTTCACATGTACTTGCCACGTAGCCATGCACAGAAATAAGTAGGCAAGCCTACCTAGGCATATTCTGTGTGTTAAAAACTATCAATTGAGATAAAACTCATTCGGTTATCACAAGAGTGAAGGTGATGAAAGAAAATTGATTAAAATTAATTAAATAGAAAGCAGCTATGAACACTTTCACACAGATAGGCAAGTTATCATAGGCATATTTGTTTATAAATTATATTTGATAAAAAATATGTCTAATCGAGTTATCAGATCGGTGAAGGTCGATCTCCCACCGGCTCTTAGACTATTAGGCGAAAACACGATTTTGAATCGTAATGTACAGAGCTTCATTGAAATACATGTGTTCGGCGTAAAAGCTTTATACTTTAGTATGCCGTAACGATTACACTACTATGACTAGGAGCTTAATGTGCGAAGTGCCTAAGCTTACACTGAGTTATAATAAAATTCAATAAGCTATAAAACCGCTTACACAAAATTTTATAGAAATTCGAATTAAAATGTTTGAAATTTTAATGATTTTGTATTTTCTTATGTTTTGTACAACTTTTATTAAAAATTAGTAGACACTAAACAAACAACTTTATTCGTTTTCTTATAATATGGTAAAATGTTAATAATTTCCTTTGTCCGGATTTTGATATGCGCCTCCGCATTTGATCTCAGTTGAACTTTTATAAATATGAGTTGTCAATTTAAACGAATATCTTTTATTTTGTTTGTTTTGTAGTATTATAAATGTATTTTTATAGCCAATTTCTCTTCCTTGCACTTCAAAAGGGACAAACAAAATCCGAATTTAATTTTTCCATATAAGAAATAAATTCAGATCTTGCCTGTCGCTATTCAAGTGGATGCAAGTGTATGTATATAAGTATACATAATTCAGACACATAAATCAGTTAGTTTATTTTATTATTGTAAGATGTTCTTTTTGAGGTACTCAAATTTAAACAAATTTATATATGCCCAGTTTTTTGACGAAGGCTTAAATTCACCATATATGTAATACTCCTATATTGGAAGTAAGAGCTAGTACCGTCCGAAAACACTACAGTACAGATATATCAATAAACACGTACGAAAGAAAAGGAACACATACGTTTATAAATAAACATTCACACGACACATTTACAAAACCGGCACTCAAGTACACAATACATTGACAAAAACAGTACTAGACTGTCTCGCTTTGATTTCGGAATGCTTACACATTGAGATGTTAGCTTACTATCAATATAGAAGTATTACATATATGAAATTTACAAAGCGATTTAAAGTCGTTGAATTGTGATTTAACTCAAAATTGTGTTTGTTCACAGCGACTTAGGGTAAGAACTTAGTGGAGCGGCGAGCAAAGAGCATCGAGCAAAGCGTCGATTTCAAACGCATATGTTTCAATGGGAAAGCGCATAGTGAAGAGCAAAGCGTACATACACATTTGTAATTGAAGCTTTGCTCGATGCTAGCTCTTCGCTTTGCTCGCCGCTCCACTATGTTTTGTCCCTTAATATTTTTGCGTCGCCGTTTACGACGCAGCCAAGTTTCAGTCTCCGATTTTAAACCGAGATTTATCATATTTTCGGTTTTTTGACTGCACCTTGCTGTCAGAATTTGGCAGAGGTTGGAATACATAACACAATTCTATTTTTAATTTAGGGCCTGCGGCATGTATCATTTGCCAGTGGTTAATTGGGTTAGTGACGATAGCGACAGAGATAGCGATGATGAAGTTGGTACCGTGGAAAGAGTGGCACGCAAACCATACAGATTCTTTCGACGATTGGACATGAACTGGCTTGACGACGGCGAATTTATTGGACGCTTTCGGTTGACAAAAGGAACAGTCGCTCGCGTGCTTGAAATGATCGCGCCGAGTTTGCCATTCAACCCAACTCGATTCGTTTTAAAAACATCGTGTGCGTATACATTTTGCCACGAATCAAATTACATTGAAAATAATAATTCACAGATCCCGAACATAACACCGCTAAACCAGTTATTGATCGCGCAACGATTTTTTGGCTGCGGAAATTTTCAAATCACCGTTGGCGACTTCGTTGGATGCAGCCGATCGAGTGTTTGCATCATTTTACCTCGTGTATCTACAGCAATTGCTCGCTTCCTACCACAGGTAATACGTATGCCTTCAACGCCGGAAGAGATGCGCAGGACAAGCCTTACATTTTATAAAGTTGCTAAGTTCCCAGGTGTCATTGGTGCTACCGATTGCACGCACGTTAGGATTCAGTCGCCTGGCACCGACCAAGCCGAGAACTATCGTAACCGCAAAGGTGGATATTTTGTTTTTTATTTTTTCACATTCATATTTTTCGTTTTTTCCGACAAGGTTGGTTCTCCATCCACGTGCAAACAGTGGTCGATGCGGAAGCTCGAATTACGAACATTGTTGCTCGCTGGCCACGTTCTACTCATGATGCCACGATATTCAACAATTCGCGGTTGTACCGACGATTGGAGACTGGAGAATTCGGCAACAATTTGCTTGTAGCCGACGGCGGATATCGTAAAGCCGAATATATAGTGACACCGCATTTGAACCCGCAAACAGGTGAAGAGCAACTTTACAACTACAGCCACATTAGCACGCGTAATGTCGTGGAGAGGTCATACGGTATACTTAAACGACGTTGGCCTGTACTATCAATGGGTATGCGTGTGCGCATACATACGGCCCAATCAATAATTGTCGCATGTGCTGTTTTACACAACATTGCAATGAACGAACGGGACTACGTACCGGACGACGAAATCGATGGAATCAACGATGGGATGGGCTCCCTGCACGAGTCAGTTACAGATCGCGATAGACTCACAAGAGAATATTTCCACGGATTGTTAATGGCTGGAAGATAAGCAAATGAAATCCCAACCAAAATACGATAAACATGTTAATTAAAGTCTTTTATTGAAATTGTAATTTTGCAGTATTAGTATTGTTCCCATATACAGAAACCTAATTCTTTCAAATTTCGTGCGCTTGCGTTTTACGCTCTCAATTTGGACAGTCAATAATTCGATGCGTAAACGATGCTTCTCTAAACTTATTTCGTGCACTGTACTCTTCTCCTCGCGCCCTGCACGCCACAATTGCATTTGCAATTAATGTCGTTCAGAAGCTCGCTTTTCTTCGTTCTGATAGACAGCCGCTTTCGCAATTACCGCAAACTTGGCGTTGTCGTTAGCAGGGTTCGACTGAGCAATGGCCATCCTGCGAGTTTTTTTGTTCTTCTGGATAAGTGCGTGCATTGGATGCGATTGTATCTCGTTCTGTTGTTTATCACTACTATTATTGTTGGAATCAGTTTGAAGATTTGCGCTGTGTGCCTCAGAGGGATTCACACTGCTTATATTTTGCGTCTCAGGAAGATTAACTGTACTTGTACTTTGCATCTCAGAGAGATTTATGGTTCTGGTATTTTGTGGATCGTTCTCTTCATCTGTCATTTGGATAATATCGAGAAAAAGCTCCGTTGTGTCATTGCTGGCGTCGATGTTATCGGGGCGTGTTTCGAAAGAGGGCTCAGAGTCTGCTGTGGCGAACTGGCCTTCATCGTCATCGTCGAAATTTGGCGCGTGACCTTCGATTCTTAGCGCAATCGCAGCATCTAACTCTTGCTTAGTGCCGCTTAGTTGGTCAATATCGTGTGGAGGCTTGCCGCCGACGGTGAGCTGACGCGACAGTTTATTCACGGCGTTGCCTTTGCGGAGACTAGCTTTGATATTTTTTAATTTACTTAGGAGATTCTTGGCTGAACGAAATGTCTTTAAAAGCACAGAAAACTAGAAAACTCTATCAGAATGGAGAATGAAAAAGTTTACAGTATGCAAAATCCATATTCGTACACCACATGTTTTATACCAATTTTGCTGATAACAAACA